GAATGGAGGCCTAGGCTGCTAAGGCAGGTAGAAAGCTTTGCTTCCTCTGTTGCCTGGGAAACCCAAGCCTCCCTCTTGCTCTCTGTGGCTATAGCCATCTTGGTTGGGTTTATTTGCATACTCTCTCTGATTGGCTGGTGGGGCGTGGCTGGTGGGCATGGCTGAGTGGTGGTTAATTTGCATATTGTTATTTTATTAGGTAGGATATTAGTGCCCTGGTGCACAAAATTCATACATGAGGATTGGGGGGCGGGGGAGGTGGTGTCCTTCTGCCTCACCTGCACCCTCTCCAATCTGGGATCCTTTTTGCAATCCAAAACCACTGGCTCCTAAGCACTCACCTGCCTGCCTGCCTGATGCCCTTAACTGCTCCCCTGCCAGCCTGATGGCCCTAACTGCTCTCCCATCCTTGTCTGAGCCCCCTAACTGCCTCTCTGCTGTCTCCTCCTTGCCTAAACCCCCTAACTGCCTATGTGCCCTTCCTTCCTCTCCACACCTTCAGACCCTGGAACGGGAGTGCTAAAAGCTCTGGGCAGAGGCCCCATCCCTGTACTGACACACCCCTCCAGGCCTGGCGGTGTGGAGGACCTGTGCGCGCTTCCGCTGTGGGGGGCACCACAGCCCATCCTGATGTCCCCCTTCAGCCTCATGTCCCAGTGATACAAGTCTTCATCCCTGTCCCTGCCCACCAGCTCCTGTGTGCACGCACCTTTGACCAGTCATGACTGGGACACCGTTAGGACCAATTATCATATTACTTCTTTATATAGATATGTGTTTATATGTATATTTGTGGGGTGCTGGTGTTTCTGAGGGTCTGAATCTGTTTAAAAATGATTACTAGGTGCCTCATTAGCGCAGTAGGTAGCGCGTCAACCTCATAAAAATGAATACTGAAACATGTGGTCCTGCATTTTAGGAGTGCCTGTGGGATATTTTGAATCAATATGGAACTTTAACACAGGAGAATGAGTGATGGCATGAGCACTTGTGCAGAGATACCCATGCCTGAAGCAATTTGGGTGGGTGCTGGGAGCTCTTGAGTACCTTGGCCACCTGCTCTTCATATGAAGAAGCCTCCTGCTGGATCTGGCCTTGCTGCCTCATTTGCATTGGAGGGTAAATGAGGGCCCTTGACCAAACAGCCATCTGAGGTCAGCAGCAGCCTCAGGGATCACAGTTGTGCCAGTTGTCCTCACTGCCTAGCCCAGGAGGCCACAGCCGGTGAAAAGGGCTGCCTGAGGCTGGAGGATCCCAAAATAGGGTTTCTTGCGGGTTCAAGGTTAACCTGGATGTGTTCTGGAGCAAATGACAACACAGACAACTGTGCCAAATACTATGTGCTAAGCACTTTAGACATTATTTAAACATCTGTAAAATGGGTAATGAAGTAGTATTTTACCCATTTTACAGATAAGAAAAAAGAGTCTGGATCACACAACAAATAACTTGTAAGACTTGGATCTTATACAGATCATCCTGGAAAGAGCGAAGAATGGGTCTCATTTCCCCCTAAACCACCACTTCAAACAGGTCAGTTTGGCTTGATGGAGACAAACATTCATTTCAGAGAAAAAGCTTTACCCGCCCCCTCTGGATTTAAGATCTAAGACTTCTGTGGGGACCAAGGGGGAGGTGGGAAGAGGGAAATGACTGTGTCTTTCCCAGGGAGCCACTGATGTTCCCAGAGCCCAGGCTTGGGAGTGTCCCCTGGCTTGCTCTGTGGCTTCCCCAAGAGGCCTGCTTTGCAGCTCCCTAGAGATCAGGCTGCAGGAAAATGACTCAGGTGACATTGTCAGAGGTGGTCCTGGACACCACGGCTGCTCTTACTGTTCTGGGAAACTGTTCAGTCTTTCCTTCTCTGATGTAAGTAGCAGAGAAAATACATTATTTTTTCATTAAAAATTCATTTTGAAACAAAGCCTTCAGAGATGTAATTAGCCTCATTATTTCTCTCCATTAGCAGTCCCTAGATTTTGCTGGAATTTCTTATCCGTTTCTCCCTCCATTTCACTCTTTCCATCCTCGTTATCAGCTATGTTGTAACACAACACTTCCCCTCTCCCTCTTCTGACCATCACCACTTGTTCTGGTTGGGACTGAACAACTATTTGAATATCTGGAGAAAGAGTTATAGCGAACTACCTCCTCCCTGCTGGGCGCGGGATCACAGTCCCCTGAAGCAGCAAGGGTTTAAAGGTGCCTATTTCTGCCAACAGGACTCCAGGGGGAGCTCCATGTGATACAAAGACATCCTGACTAGTGGCAAAGCTCAGTAGAGCTAGGAGGTTACTGACTCCTCAACTTACTGGCTAAGTGATCCCAAGCAAGTAATGCAATCTCTGTGACCTGTTCTCCTTCCAGAGTGGTCAGGGTTGGCATTGACATATGTAAAGCACTTCACCTGAGATATATAGAAAATGCCCAGTAGAAGGTAGCTATGGTTGGGCAAGAGGGGGCTTCTGGGGGCCAAACAAGCAGTAGACATGACAGCAGTAAAGACTCAGACTTAGCTCGGTGAGAGTCAGAACCACACACATGGTGGTTCCCCAGGAGCCTGGGCTGAGGGAAAGGAATCAGGAGAACCACAATGAAGGAGCAAGATCCTTTCAGAGCAGGAGGGAGCATGTGGAGGTGCAGCCTCAGCTGAGTGCCTCCCTTTTGCTGACTGTGGTGGCTTCTTCTCAGAGTTGCTTCTCTGATTATTTCTGGTTTCAGTGACAGCTGGATGGAAGGTGACAGAGAGGAAGTGTGGAGCAAGTGAGAGCTTCCTAAGATGATGGAGATGGTCCAAAATGCAGCAACTAAAACCCAGTGGCACTCCAACTAGCTCAGGGGATTCAGGGTGGCTGGGCTAGCTATTGCTCTGGGGAACTCCAACTACCTCATGCTCAGAAGCAAGCTGTCTCCAGTCCGCCTCCCTGCTCTTCTCCCACTGGTGACAGATGATGTGAGGCTGTCTCCAGCATCATCAGAAATACCGAGCTCAGAGTGGGTGAAAGAGGAAAACCTGCTGCCGAATATAAGCTGGCCCTGGCTCACACCATGAGAGCCAAAGAGGAAAGCAGAGCTTTGACACAGATGATCATTAGTACTTCTCTATGAAATAAAATCACAAAGTGCAGCATTTAAACCTAGAACTAAGTGCCTCAGATTTAGACTATCAAGGGTAGGTGTCCTTTGAAGGGCTCACTGATAACTGTTACAGGGACACAAAATCATTTTGTGTTGTGCCAACATGAAGGGAACAGGAGTGAACTCAGTTTCTAACAATGGGCTCATCTTTCTTTTGTGGTGATCTTGGCCTAAGTTCCTGGAGAAATGCAGAGAAACTACAGCTGAGCTTTGAACTTTGCATGATGGAGGCAGGCAGAATCTCAGTTCATAAGTAGTTCATAAAGATGTTATGGATAATGTCTTGGGTATTAATAATACTAATGGTGATGCTGAGGTTCATAGTTTCTCCCATGCAGTTAATTCTTAGTTGTTAACATAATTTGTGTGGAAGAACAGAGGCATAGATCATCCCAAATGGCAAGTAATGCCCACTCCTCACCTCCTGCTCTGGGGTATTTGCTTTGGACACTTCTTAAGGACCTTAGAATGAAGGCACCCTGTTTGGAAGGTAGTTCTGTCCTTTCTCCATCTCCTCCTCAAAGCCACTTCACCTCCTGTTCCGTGATGACCTGGGGGCAGCAGATGAAGGGGAAAAGGCTAAATGCTTTCCTGGGTTGGGATGGAGTAGTGGAGGGAGGCAGAGAACACAGCATTTTTATTTAAAAGGCCTCCTGCAGTGCCACAAACTTTCAGGATAGGACAGTAAATGAGACAATTGTGGCCACTGGAGACTTCCATATGGACACTGATTCATGATATCAACAGGACTGTGAAAGCCAGAAGCCGACACTTCTGATGTCATGGCTGGGGACCGATAGCTAAGGAGGGAGAAACATCCAAATTTGAGGTCAGAGTCCAATTCCAACTCCAAGCTTCTAATTTAAATTTGGTTGGTCTAATTACTGTCTTCTCCTAACAGTTAAAACTTTAGAGCCAGATAACTTTCACAGCTGGTGCCTGAGTAGAAATGCAAGTGATGCTTACGGTGGAGAGCTGGTGATGTTGGAGATAAGAGGAGCCATCTCTTCTGTGTCATTCGACAAATACTGAGCACCAGTGCCAGGCAGTCAGAAAAGTACAAAAATCAGACATTGATTGACCCTGGTCAAAAAGCACTCAGGGACTCCATATAGAAATCTCTGTAATACACACAGAGAAGGTGAGATCTGAGAGCTTCACTTAGTTTTCCATTCAGTTAAGTCCTTTATTCAGTCACTGGGGCATTTTTTTAAGTGCTCTGGATATAAAGGTAAATTAAACTGGTCTCTACCATTTGGAGCTACCATTTAAATACTGAATTGTAGTCACCTAGAAGCTTTTCAAAATATAGTTCCCAGGCCCCAGCCCAGATGTCCTGATTCTGAATGTCTGGAAGCTTCACTGAAGAGATCTGAAGCTTCAATTCTAGGTTTCTTCAGGATTGAGCCCTGGTCTTGTGGGATAACAAGTGAAGAGATTCTAGAGGTGGGAGAGCCAGAGATAAAGGCTTCCTGGCCCATTTCTGTCAGGAAGCCTTCCCTAACCACCCTACCATACCCTAGGACATGGTCTGCATGTCTTGACTCCATCCTTCTGTAGGTACTGCAGTTTTCCTAGATGACTAGTATGTTTAGTCCCCATGGCTCCAGGATGTGTCATACCTTTGATGCTGAGAACTCCAATGTTCCAAGGTCATTGTGACAAGGGTTCTAGGGGCCTTGTGACACACAGCTGGCTGATTCTGTTCAAGTGTGGGAGGTCAGGAGAGACCCAGTTCCCCCTGGGAATGCAACTCATCCCCCAAAATGAAGATCACTTTCCCTACTAACTAAGCATCATTTAAAGCTCGAAGTAAACTCTGGGTAGAGCGTTAGAGAGTGCTTTGAAGACAACCAGCAGGAGTCATGACCACCCTCTCTCCCGAAAACAGCCTCTCTGCCAGGCTGTCGGCCTCCTTCATCCTGGTGCGTGTTCTTCATCAGCTCCAAGTCCCTCCCTCCCCAATCTCTGGTTTGTATTAAGCCATTTTCCCCACAGGCTGGGAAAGACAAACTGTGAGCTGACCTAGAAGGGTAGGTTGTACCTTGGTCTCATCATCAGCACCAACAACAGGACTGAGAAGCACAGGTCACCTTTCACCCTTCTCTCTAAACTAGTGTTACCTTTTCCTCATTTGTGACATTCTAACTAATGGGGTTTAGGTTTGCAAGTTCAGTCTTAAAGATGCTGATTAATTTTCTTTGGTGCTATTGACAACAATTTTGGTATGCTGCCACCAGGTGGCAGTAATGCTTTTGTTAGTGGTGCTTCTAAGCCTAGTTAGTAAGATAGATTTATTCATTAGAAGTCAGCTTCAGTCATAAAAATTGTCCACACGGTATATTTTTCAAAATTATAGTAACTAATTATAATTTCAAGTCTTGTTAATTATAATTGTTAAGAGAGGGATAAAAGAGTAGAAATCCAAAAATGGGCACCCTTCTCCCTGAATTTTAAATGTTACTGCTTAATTGCAGATTATTAACGGGCCTTGATTTGAATTTTCCTCATATGTTTCTTAATTTCTCTGAACTTCAAGGAAGATAATAAAACAACAAGTTTTCACATAGAATCTATATTGTATAGTGACTATTCTAAATGCTTTATAGCCACTTATCATAACTTTATAAGATTTATAAATGAAAACGTTGAGGCAGAGAGTAAATAAACCTGTCTATACAGCTACTAAGTGGCAGAGGTGGTATTTAGATGTAGACAGTAGGTTACAGAGTCCATTTCCTCTCTCCCTCCCCCCTCATTGATCTTTAGAGAAAGCAGAAGGGAGGGAGGGGAGAGAAAGAGAGAGAAACATCAATGTGAAACACATATCTATTTGTTGCTTCCCACATGTCCCCTGAGTGAAGCTGAGATTGAACCTGCAATCCAGGTACGTGCCCTTGACCGGGAATCGAACCCAAGACCCTTCAGTGTGTAGGCCTACACTAACTACTGAAAAACACAGGCCAGGGCAGGAAGTCCATCTTCTAATTCAGTGATTCTCAAGAGTGGCGCTCAAACCTGCAGCATCAACATCAATTAAGAAATGCAGATTTGCTGAAACCAGTTTGGCTCAATGGATAGAGCGTCGGCTTGTGGACTGAAGGGTCCCAGGTTCGATTCCGGTCAAGGGCCTATCTCTCTCCCTTCCTCTCTGTACAAAATCAATAAAATATACTAAAAAAAGAGGGGGGGGGAAAGAAATGCAGATTCTTTTGTTTTAACAAATCCTCTGGGTGATTCTGATGCACAGCTAACATTGAGAACCACTGTTTTAAACAATTCTGTTCATCAGCATGCTATATTGATGATATACCCTCCACATCTGGGTTATTGCTAATCACCTGGGTAACTTTCAAGTGCACTTACTTCCCCCCTCCCAATTTTAATATGCGTGCCCTCCTTGGGCTCCCCACCTCTCTCCTGGGTGAGAACCATTGATATGGTAGGCCATAATTACTATTGGGAGTGTGTCTTGTCCTTGTAGTGAACTGGAGTGTAAAAGAGGTTAAAAATCTTAAGCAGAGTCAATGACCCTTCCCAGGTTTTCTTGAGGGCACTGTTTCTGAGTATTCAGAGCAACGTGGCATCAAAGACAATGATAGACAGTTTTTCTTACCCTCCAATGGATTTCCTATTTTATTAGAAATACTAAAGGTCCGATGCACGAAATTTGTGAGGGGAGTGGGGGGGTTAGGGGGGTAATGTCCCTCAGCCTAGCTTGCACCCTCTTCAATCGGGAACCCATTGAGGGATGTCCGACTGCCCATTTAGGCCCGATCCCACTGGCAGTCAAACATTCCACTCACAATCCGGGACTGCTGGCTCCCAACCGCTCGCCTGCCTGTCTGGCTGATTGACCCTAACCACTTCTGCCTGGCAGCCTGATTGACACCTAACTGCTCCCCTGCCAGCCCGATTGCCCCTAACTGCCCTCCCCTACTGGCATGGTCATCCCTAACTGTCTTTCCCTCCAGGCCTGGTCTCTCCCAACTGCCCTCCACTGCTAGCCTGATTGCCCCTAACTGCCCTCCCCTGTTGGCCTGATTGCCCACAACTGCCCTCCCTTGCCAGCCATCTTGTGGCAGCCACCTTGTGTCCGCATGGGGGTGGCCATATTTGACCACTGGGGGTGGTCATCTTGTGTGTTGGAGTGATGGCCAATTTGCATATTACCTCTTTATTATATAGGATTAGTGGAAATTCTTAACCCAGTGATGAAGAAGGGAAGGAAGGTGGGGAGATGTACACCTGCAGCCACGGTCTCTGGCCACAGGAAGCCCCTTTCTTCAGGGGAAGCATGGCCAGATTTCCCCAGGTTTGCTGGTGGGGAGTTTTAGCCTACTTATGCACATCATGAAGGTAGGAGATTTCCACAACTGCTCTACCTCACAGTGTTCTTCTCAGGAGAGTAGAAAAGCAGCTATTGCATTGCTGAAGCATATCCAGTTTGGGTACAACATAATTCCCCCTCCCTGGCCACCAGGTTATTATACCCAGATGGGTTGTTCATTAAAGAATAGGGGAATGTGGGCGAATGAAGGTGGATTTGAGAAGCAATGGAGCTGACAGTCCCCATCACTTTAAAGCACCCCAGATACAGGCTCTATGATTTCTGGAACACATGGGTATTGTGGATGTACTAGAAAGGATAGAGGGGGCTTTCATGAGGAAATTTTCACCTTCAGCCCTCTGCATGTCAACAAACTTCTGGTGTTTGTTCTAGGCTTGCTAACAAATGTCTCAGATCTCTTATGGGTGGCCTATTGTTAGCTAAGGTTTGGGAAGTACGAGGAAGTAGATGGAATAGAGAAAAGGAGTTTCCTGGAAGGAGAAGAGAGTGACGTTTTATGAACAAATTCAGTGCTGACAAGGTAGGCACATGACTGGCCCATTGTAGTAGGTAGACACTTAATAATGCAAATTCTTAAAGAAGGCAGCAGATGACTTATTGTGATGCTTCCAATTATCTCTCCTTATTGTGTTGATGTCATGTCTTTTATTGTGGTATACTGTGTATATTACTTTGATTATTTTGCCACTCTTTTATTGTGTTTCTCCCTTCATATATTTGTTCACCTTTCTAAGGAATTTGATTTAACACATACCTTTTGCTAATAGCTTGTGTAGATATATATATTTTTTTAATTCAAACTGAAAATTCTTGCCTCTTGTCTGTCCTTCCTGGTGGCATGGCATTGGTATTCAGCACCCTGACTCTTGTACCAAATAGTCTGGGTTCAAGTCTCATCTCTGATTCTGGCTATGTGACTTCAGATATGCTACCATGTTTCCCTGAAAATAAAACATCCTCCGAAAATAAGACCTACTTACAAATTTCCTTCTGAGTGAAATATAAGGCATCCCCATGAAAATAAGGCCCCCCCTAGGCTCTGTCTCAAAATGCTATTGCTAAACATGAGAGATTTGGCCCACTGATTCTGCAAGAAATGGAGTCACAAGAAATTCACCAGGAAATTCAGGAATTGGATTGTTATGATGATGTTCCAGAAGATGATGACATGATTGTCATTGAATAAATGAGTAAATTCTTGATACTGTAGGATTCACAGTTTGTCTGGTTTGTATTGACAACCACCGTACTACCGTACTGTATACAGGTAATAAATTTCCTTTATTTTCATTTAACAATAAATGTGTACCGTATTCTTCTTCATGAAAAAATAAGACATCCCCTGAAAATAAGACCTAGTGCATCTTTGGGAGCAAAAATTAATATAAGACACTGTCTTATTTTGGGGGAAACAGGGTAATTAGCTATTCTACAGTTTCCTGGCCTGTAAAAAAGTGTAATAACTACACCTACCTTATAGATGGGTGGGAAAATTAAACAAATTAATATATTTAAACTAAAGGTCTGGTGCATAAAATTCTCACATGGAGAGGGTCCCTAGGCCTGGCTGGCAATCAGGGCTGATTGGGGCCTTCCAGCTGCCAGCTGGGGCCTCCCTTCCCAGGCTGCCAGCTGCCAGCTGAGGCCTTCCTTTGTTCCATGCTAATCCCTGGTGGTCAGCGCACCTCATAGCAAGCAATAGAACTCCTAGTCTCCCAATTGAACTCCGGTGGGAATGCTTTGCATATTAGCCTTTTATATATATAGATAAGCACTACATTAAGCACTGACACTTTGACATTGCCCGAGGGGGGTCCAAGATTGCGAGAGAGAGTGCAGGCCAAGCTGAGGGACCCCACTGGTGCACAATCGGGGCTAGGAAGGGACGTGGGAGATTGGCCAGCTGGGGAGAGACTGTGGGAGGACTCCAGGGTGTGTCTGATCCATCTCAGTCCCAATCAGCCAGACCCCAGTAGCAAGCTAACCTAATAGTCAGAACATCTGCCCCATGGTGATCAGTGCACATCATAGCAAACAATTGAGTGGCCTTAGCATATCATTAGCATATTACACTTTGATTGGTTGAATAACTGACTGATCCACCAGAAACTTAGCATATTGGGCTTTTATTATATAGGATTGCTTAGGAAAGTGTTTGACCCATCACTGATGCCTTTAAGTGTTTACACTAATAAGAGAATTTAATGAATTTGTATTCACAATTAATTTTTTAATTTCTATTATTTTTATGCTTTATGATTTCATTACTTCCCTGTTGTTTTTGTATTATTAAAATGAATAGGAAGAAAAATGTATTGTTCCTATAAATCTCTAATATTTAAAGTAAAAAAATTAAACAATTTCCTCTGTCTCCATCTTCAAGTCAAATAAAGAAACTGAATTTTCAGTTTAAAATCTTCCACAAAGAACATTCCAGGCCTAGATGGCTTCACTGCTAACTTGTACCAAAAACTGAGGAACGAAACAGTGGCAAGTCTTAAAAAGCTTGAAAAGCACAAATGCATTCCTACTCATTCTATAAAGTCAACATTACCCTAACATTAAAATCAAAGAAATTTCAAGAAAATTATAGGCCAATATCTCTCATGAACATGGATGGGAAAATCCTAAATAAGATTTTAGCAAATAAAATCCAATGATTTGTAGGAAGGATAATATATGATTACTAAATGGATTTATCCCATTTCTATAGAGACAGAACATCATGTAAAAAAAATCAAAATCAAACAATCAGTCCTGAAAAAACCCTCAACAAACTAGGAAGATAAGGGAACTTTCTCAATCTTTTCATTTACTCATATCAACAATAGTTTTTCTGCCTCTTTAATTGCCTGTTGTTCTTGTTTTGTGAGCACTTTCACACCCTTAGCAACATTAGCACTCTTGATGGCCTCTTTATATTTTAAATTGTGCTAATCCATGCCTCAGGCCTTACAATTTTTTTTCCCCAAGTGATTTCAATTTTTAACTCTTAGAAACCTGAATTTTAATAACTAAAAAAGCAAACAACCAGCATTCCTTAGCTAAGTTACGATAAACATCATATGGCATCATGAAAGCCTGAATGCTTTTCTGCTAAGATTGGGAACAAAAGAAAGATGTCTGCACTCACTACTTTTATTCAACATTATACCTGAGTTTCTAGCCAAAGCATGAGATAGGAAAAAGAAATAAGGCATCCAGCCTGGAAAGGAAGAAGTTGTTAAACTGTCCTTGTCCACAGAAACATGATCATCTATTTCAGGGTTGGCAACCTTGGTCTGTAAAGGTCAAGTAGTATTTTAGTTTTTGTGTGGTGTTTCTGTTGCAACTACTTAACTCAACCATTATACCACAAAAACAGGTACAGACAATGCATGAATGAATGGACATGGCTGTATGCTTATGTTTTAACTTTATGTTAAAAAAAAATACAACTTGGAGGCAGATTTGGCCCATGGGTCATAGTTTCAGATCTTTGGCCTGTATAATAAGTCCCACAGAATCCAAAAAACAAAAACAAAACAAAAAACCCTACTAGAACTAATAAGTGAGTTTAACAAGTTTCAGAATATAAGATCAACATATAAAAAATCTATTTTATATACTAACAACGAACAATTGGAAGTTGAAATTTTAAAAATAATACCTTTTACAATAACATCCAAAAAAATGAAGTATTTAGGGATTAATCTAACAAAATATATGAATAACCTATAACTATAACCTAAAGTCTGCATAACATTACTGAGAGAAGAAATTTAAAGAGACCTAAATAAGTAAAAAAATATACTGTGTTTGTGGGTCAAAAGATTCAATAGTGTTATCAATTCTCCCTAAATTGATCTATAGAATTAATACAATCCCCATAAAAAAAAAATCACAGCTGTCTTTATTATAGAAATTGACCACCTGACTGAAATTCATTTGGAAATGAATTCCTAAAGTCCATGCATTACCTTTTTTATAAATACTCCTATGTATTTTTTTATTGATTTCAGAGAGGAAGAGGGACAGAGAGATAGAACCATCATTGTTGAGAGAGAATCATTGATCTCCTGCATGCCCCCAACTGGGGACGGATCCCACAGCCCAGGCATGTGCCCTTGATGGGAGTTGAACCTGGGACCATTCAGTGTGCAGTCCAACGCCCTATCCAGTGAGCCAAACTGGCCAGGGCATGCATTCCCTTTTATAGTTAGGAATCTGGGACACAGCCCAGCTTTGGCTATCTCCTCCTACATCTGGTACTGCCATTGTGCACGCTGAGTTGCAGCCTCTAAGTATAGATTTAAAAACATGACAGCTGTCAGAGGGGCAGAAACCTAGCTCTGATTGGCTTAGATGACTGTCCATGCAATAGGTGCAAGGTAATGGAGGTAATGGATTCTGCTTCCCAGAGTTAAGCCAACACTTAGATTTTTTTTTGTACCTTCTTGGGCCCACATGTCCTATTTTGGTTCAGAAGATAGAGAATACATAGAGAAGATAGAATGGGTCAGTCCCGGGGGAACTAATGATGAAAGGATAAGTGAGAAAAACAGCAAATAAACCATCACTGTGGTGGTCACTGCCATGGCTCCAAAGGGCAAAGGGCACCAGAGCTGGATGCTGCTGGCACATGGGCTGAAACAGCTTTTTGGTTTGTATGCACTGCAGAATGTGAAACAGAAGCAGGAGGAAGGGAAGAATGCAAGGTGCAGGACCAGGGTGGCTACAAAGGGGAAGGTTCCAGTGACTGGAGCATTTAGAGAGAGACATTCCAGGGAAGGCTGTCTTGCTTGGTGACTTTTTTACTATTCTGAAGGATCATTAAATCTATAGTTTACTACCATTCCACCAGTGTTTCTTTGCGGTGACTGCATTGGCCATTCATTGGAATGTAAGGGAAGTTGACTCTATGTTGCAAAATGAAAGGTGAGACGTTTTTCTTAAAATGCGAAAGGTTTGCCGAAACCAATTTGGCTCAGTGGATAGAGTGTCAGCCTGCTGACTGAAAAGTCCCAGGTTCGATTCCAGTCAAGGGCATGTACCTTGGTTGCGGGCACATCCCCAGTAGGAGGTGTGCAAGAGGCAGCTGGTCGATGTTTCTCTCTCATCAATGTTTCTAACTTTCTATCCCTCTCTCTTCCTTTCCGTAAAAAATCAATAAAATATATATATTTTTTAAATGTGAAAGGTTTTAGAAAATACATTATTCAATCCATCCCTACCAAACATAGACTAGGGGAAATTATCTCAAACTTGGGCCTATGGGTTCTTTTTTTAATTTCCAGTGTTGTTTTACCATCTAATACCTTGATACTCATATGGTCAATGGACCAGCAGAGTCAGCAATCCTCTGGTAGCTTGTTAGAAATGCATCATCTTGCCCTATCCGGTTTGGTTCAGTGGATAGAGCATTGGCTTATGGACTGAAGGGTCAAGGGCACATGCCTGGGTTGTGGGGGGGTCAATCCTCAGTAGGGGGTATGCAGGTGGCACCAATCAATGATTTTTTCTCATCATTGATGTTTCTATCTCTCTCTCCATTCCTCTCTGAAATAAATAAAAATATTTTTTGTTTAAAAAAATGCATTTTTTGGTCCTACCCTAGATCATCTGAGTCATAATCTGCATTTTAAAGATTCTCATGTGACTTGTTTGCAAATTTAAATTTAAGTCACATGCATGCATGTTCAGGTGCATATTAATGGGAGGTCATTTCCATAAGAACTTTAACTTCTTGTTATTGTTTTTAGAGCATTTTTAATTACTTTGTATGCAGTGTACTCATTTCCCCCAAACACACACACACACACACACATACACACACACACACACACACACACACACACACACACCTTAATTAGTGCTTATTTTATATTTTTATTATAAAAGCAACATATATCTTTATAGAAAAGTTTGAAAATAAAATAAAAAGGAAAAATTACTTATAATCCTATCATTCCAAAATAATCACCATCACGCTGGCCAGTCTAACTCAGTTGGTTGAACACCATCTCATGCACCAAGAAGTCACCAGATTCCTGGCCAGGGCACAGACTCAGGTTTCAGGTTCAATTCTGGTCAGGGAGCTTATGGGAGGCAATCCATTAATATTTCTCTCTCACATAAATATTCTCTCTCTCTTTTTCTCTCCCCTCTCCCTCCATCCCCATTTCTCTAAAATTAATAAAACATACTTTTAAAAAATAATAAAAATCACTGTTAGTTTTAGATCTTTTTTTTGGTATTTTTTAGTCTTCTAACAATTTTATAGTGGTTAATTCATTATGTATTTGAGTCTATAAGATGTAGTTTTATAATATATTACAAACATTTATGGAGGATAGATAGTACATAGAGAAGATAGATACTGAATGTACAATTTTGTGTTCTGCTTTTTTCTGTTAACATTTATATTTTTCCAGATTATTCACCCTTCTAAACATTGTTTTATATGCTTCATAATATTCCAATATGTACATAAACCATGGTTTACATAACTATTCCCTTATTGCATAACACTTAGAGTACTTGCATTTTTCATATCGGTAAGTATGTGCAATGAAAATTATTGTGCATACAGCATCTTAATATATTTTTTCAGTAATTTTTTTCAAGATAAATTTCCAGAAATGAGTCAGAGACTTCTGTGAGCTTAGATTCACATTGCAAAATCCAGAGTATATCACTTAAAAATCACACTGAAAAGAAAAGCTAAAGGTCCCTAATAGAAGGCTAAGTGGTTGTCCTCCACAGGTGAAGAGAAAACCGCCCATTGACAAGACAGAATGGGATGGCTTCTTTGATGAGAACGGTCAGTTGGCCAAGTCACGAGACTTCATTTGTGTTAACATCCTGGAAAGGGTATGGTCCCCAAGCCTTGGTCTTTCCCTGTAACTAGGGAGCATGGGTGGACAGGGGTGGCGGGGAGGTGGAATTGGGAGAGGCTCTTTTGGCAGGTCATTCAGAGAACCCATGGCTTCTCACCCCCCATCCCAACCTCAGGGTCTGCACCCTTTCGTGAGGACAGAAGCCTGGAAGTTCCTCACGGGCTACTACTCATGGCAGAGTTCCCAGGATGAGCGGCTCACAGTGGACAGTACAAGGAGGTAGAACATTCCAGATCCTATAGGGAAGGGTGGGTAGTATAGTGGGGAGGGGGTGCTCACCCCAGCGTGGTTTTAAATAGTCTTTAAACAGACTTCTCATTCTGAGTGGCAAATTTCCCATGGCACTCCTGACCCAGAAGGGGCCTTTACCAACCCTGCCCAGTTCTATTTACCAGTCTACATACTAGCAAGACATGGGCTTGACCCCAACCCTTTCCTACTATGTCCCATCCTTCCCCTGGGCCTGTGCAGCCTAGGGAGGTGGAGAAGATTGACATGCAGGGTGTGCCGTAGGAAAATCCAGGGCAATAAGGGAATCTGAGGGCTAGCTGGGGAACCCTGAGACAAGAGCCCACCTGTGTTGGTTTCCTGGAGCTGCTTTAACAAAGCACTATAAACCAAGTGTTCTACCACAATAGAAATATATTCATTCTCTCAGTTCTGAAGGCCAGAAGCTCAAAAGCTCCCTTAGGCCTTGTCTTTTGAAGATTCTGGCGGCTCCAGACGTCTTTGGCATGTGGCTGCATCACTGCAGTCTATGGGTCTGTGGTTACAGAGCCTTCTCCCTTCTCCCTCTATTTCTCCTCTGGGTTTCTCTTATATGGACATTTGTCATTGGATTTAGAGCCCAACTAGGTAATTAAGAATGAACTCATCTTGAGAATGTTAATTATATCGGCAAAGACATTTTTTAAAGTAAGGTTACATTCACAAGTTCAAAGGTTAGGACATGGACATGGGGGACACCATTCAACCTCATTGTGATGATGAGCACATAACACACCCTCATTCAATTCTTATAATTCTGAGGCATAGGTGCTAGTGTTATCCCACTCTACAAATGAGGACCCTGAAGCTTAGAGAAGGAAAGTGAGGTCGCCAAGGCTTGACCCTAGTTGTAGACCCCAGTTATTAAGTTGTGAAGCAAGGATTCAGGTGTGTCCATCGAACTGCAGAACCATGAGGTGAATCTCATCTCCATCTGCACTCCAGGCACATAGAAGAGCATGGTTAGGGCTGGCACAGGCAGAGTGGAGGGGAGCGTCCCAGTCAGGGGGCACAGCCCCGGGTCCCTAGACTTGCTGGGTTCCTGATTTAGCCTCAGTCCTATTTTCATAGGAAAAATTATGAAGCTTTATGCCAGATGTATGAGAAGATTCAGCCCCTTCTGGAAAACCTGCACCGGAACTTCACAGAGACTCGGAATAACATTGGTGAGCAGACTGGGGTGGGAGGGCTGTGCAGAGGGGATTGCTGGAAGCCATCTCTGAGCCCTCCTCAGTCTTGTGAGGATATTTCTCCAGTTCCTGGGAGCTGTCTTGATATGTGCCTGAAATTTCCCCAGCTAAACTGTGGTTAGTCCATCCACCCACCTCTACTGGATGCCCTTAGATGCTCGGGGAGCATGGTGTTTCCCTGGGTGCATGTTGTTCCTGCTGGTTTGTCTTCATCTCTTCTCACCTTGGTCTAGAACTGGGCTGGATTTGAATTAGATGAAGGGTCACAATCCTGGCACTGGGCTCCGCCTGGTCAAAAATTTGGAAATGGGAAGAAACCCATGCAACTCAGGTGCGGTGAGAGATAGAGTTGGGGCGCGGGAGGGCAGGGAGAGCTGATGTTCCTTTTAAAGCTTTCTGCCTGGATTGGTTGGGGGAAATAAACTCACCCATAGACCTACTGCTGGAGGTGATCTGATTCTATCCCTCCTGTCCCTTGCTTGTAATTTAGCATACGACATCCAGAAACTCTATGACAAAGATCCCCTGGGAAATGTCATTATTGACAAGAAGAAGCTGGAGAAGATCCTGCTCCTCAGCTATGTGTGCAACACCCAGGCAGGTGCGCCACAGTGCTGAGCCCCCTCTTCTCAGTTCCTTGCTGGAATTCCTCCCCTGCCCAAACCCAGGCTCTACTCTCCTACTCAGCCCCTCCTAACCGGCCCCTCTCCCCCAGAGTACCAGCAGGGCTTCCATGAGATGGTGATGCTCTTCCAGCTGATGGTGGAACATGACCATGAGATCTTCTGGCTCTTCCAATTCTTCCTGCAGAAAACGGTGAGAGTTTGGCCTAAGATGAGGGTCTCCTCTTCCTCACTAAATCTTTAAACAACCCCTTGAGTTAGGCAGGCATTAGCAGCCACAGCCATTTCCTCTAGCCCTGGTACAGATCTTAGGGTCCCAGAGGAGCCTAAAAGTGTGCTCCCCAGTGCAGTGTGTTCTGGGTGCAGGTGGCAAGCACTGGAGTTGTGGAGGAGGCTGGAGTGATGCTCTTGAGTCCAGCTTTTACCAAATCTTGAAAGGATGTGACTGAAAAGGCCCAGTGATGGCACACATTTCTGGCATTCCTCTCTCAAATATGCTCTGCTCCCACAAACATTCCATGGCTCCTCACACCTTCAGAATAAAAATCCAATGACCTCTGCCAGGCATTCAATCCTCCATCATCAGGCAGCTCTCATGACTCACTTCACATGACCTGTGCTCCAGGCACACCGGGGACTCAGGATTACCCAGATGCACACTACACTGTCCAGGCTAAAGGCTTTTGTAATTTCTCTCTCTCTCTCTCTCTCTCTCTCTCTCTCTCTCTCTCTCTCTCTCTCTCACACACACACACACACACACACACACACACACACACACACACACCCACAGGTGCACACATATATACAGATGGACACATTGGCACACAGAGACCACATAGACACAGACATGATGTGCGCATGTGTGCACACATACATTCACAACATCCAGACCTACACACAGAGACATGGGCCTGACCTGGAATACAGAGACATACAGAAACACCGTGGAATTGGAGAGCAGGGCTGGCTTTTCTGGTGCCCGCAAGCCCAGAGGATTTAGTTTCCCTCCCTCCCACCCATCTTTCACAGGAGCACAGCTGTGTCATCAACATTGGGGTTGGCAAGAATTTAGACATGCTCAACAACCTGATCAGCTTCCTAGACCCTGTGTTTGCTAAGCACCTAAGTGAGTGGACAGGGTTCATTTCAATGGGGTTGGAACCTGGGCAGTTGAAAATCCACCACAATCTCCAAGGGAAGCTGGAAAAATGACAGTCAAACACATCCTGTGTTTCCCAAGTGTGTGGTATGCTCTGGTGTCTGGCTGTCTGTCTCAGCTCCCTTGTGTGTGTCATCCATTTTCTCTGATATAGCCTCCTGTCTGGCACCCCATTTCTCTCCCCACAGAAGGAAAGGGTGCGGGGGCTGTGCAGTCCCTCTTCCCCTGGTTCTGCCTCTGCTTCCAGCGCGCTTTCAAGTCCTTTGATGATGTTTGGAGGCTCTGGGAGGTGAGGTGCTCTGCTGGGGGACTGCCCCTCCCCTCAGGCAGGCAGCAGGAGAGCTCTATGGCTTTGTTGTGGCTATAGATGGAGTCCAGGTGCTCTGGGTTTATTAGGTCAATGACCCTGCTCCTGCCCAATAAGGAGGAAGCTAGAGCACCAGTTCATCCATTTGTTCATGAGATCCCATCAACTTCACCTCTCTGGGCAGTCAGGGCAGAAGAAGGGGCCTTACAGCCTATGCTGTGGACACCTGGCCTGCAGCTCACTTCCCTGCCTCCTGCCAAGTGCCTCACTCTGCTCTCATTCTCTCATCTTCCTGTTCCTCCGTCTTCCCATCCATTTGGGTGCTAGCTCCTTATTGAGCCTTCCCTCTGGAGAAGGTGGGTCCCCACAGACAGGTTGCACTGCAGTCCTTTGATCCCAGTCCCCATGGCCATCAAGAGATGAACCTCCCCTAGAACATACCCACCACCCATCACTGTCCTGTCCAGTGGCCTCTACTGTCTGCAGAACCCAGTCCAATGTTTAGCCTGAAAGGTTTAGCCCTATGATTCAACCCTGCTTTCCTCCTCCCTCCTGACCTGCTGGTCTCCATGCCCAAGTTGATGACCACCCACAGAACTTTGGTGACACCTGTATTGTTGACATTAACCATTGCTTTGCTGAAGCTCCACTCAAATATTACCTGGTTGTTCTCTGTACCTCTCTCTACCTCCCTCTCCACTACCCATCCCTCTCCCCAATTTCTCTCTTCCTCCTTCCCTCCCCTTCTCATTTTCTCTCTTCCTCCTTCCTCCATCTAATAAATTCCCTGAAGGCTTTTTTTTTTTTTATTCCCCCAGGAGCCTAGAACCCCAGCATAATGCCTAGAACCCCAGAGGTAGCTGTGAGCACTTTTCTGAGTGAGTGAGTGAGTGAGTGAGTGAGTGAGTGAGTGAGTGCGTGAGTGAGTGAGTGAATAAGTCAGCAGTGAGGCCCAGGAATGTCTGACCCTGGGCATGTGGGTGGTGGGTACCTAACCATCTTAAGGGCAGTGCAATCTCAGGCCACAGGGCACAGACCAAGACTTGCCCACCCTAACAGGTTCTGCTGACAGGGAAGCCCTGCAGAAATTTCCAGGTGCTGGTGGCCTACAGCCTGCTGCAGATGGTGCGTGAGCAGGTCCTGAAGGAGAGCATGGCTGGCGATGACATCCTCCTGGTGAGAGCACCCTCTGGTCAAGCCCAGCCCCACAGCTTCTGGGGATTCCCCACCCTGCACTTTCCCGGCTGAAGGCCCCAGGCTCATGGGGAGCTCGGCTTTTGTGCCCTCTTTGCCCTGGGAAGGATCATGAAGGAAGCCGACAAGTCCTGAGCACCACTCTGAGTGCTTTACAGATGCGTTCATTTGAGCTTCACAACAAGCCTGACCCAGAGGGGTGATGCCCATCTTCATCTTCACCCCTATGTTTCCTATGAGAAGTCCAAGGTCTTGAATGGTATTTAACCACTAGGCTTGATTGCTTCACAGTTAATTTCTTGGCTCTAGCATCTTCCTGTGGCAAAAGACCTACAGTTTCCCAAAATTTCTAACCAGTGCTGAAATATTTATTCAAAAACATCTTAGGTGGTACCCCAATTGTAAAACAAGTTCTACTTGGCAACCTGAGAGATCCTCAGTAGAACCCCAGAACTCCCTAGACCTCAATGTGAAAACTACAATTACCATCTCCCCAAAATATAAATTTCCAGTGTTAAAATTTCAAGCACTATGCCAGATGGGTTAGGAAAAGATCCAGTGGCCCCAGTGATGTCCATAAGTAGCGGCTTTGTTCGCTCAGCCTATGCCTGCTTCCTCTACCTTCTCCTGGCACAGGCCTGCAACAACCTGGTCGACCTTGATGCCGACGAGCTGATCTCTGCTGCCTGCTTGGTTTATGCGGAGCTCATCCAGAAGGATGTAAGTTGCCCCAATTATTTGTCCTTCTCCTCTTCCTTTTCCAACCCCAGGAAATGGCAGTTATATTCAGCTTCAGAAAAAGTTTGTGCCACATTACCTGTCACCAACCCACAGAGGTTATCTGGCGTGGTCTTTTTGCTGTTTTCATATGTAACTCATGCCTCCTCTGGCAGACTATGCTTCCCAAAAGCACAGCCCTGACCCGTCATTCCCTGCGTCCATCCCAGTGGATCTTGGCCCAGCACCGAGCACCCAGGGACTCAAGAGAAAATCACTGGCTGGATGAACTGAAATATGAGAGCAGCAGACCAATGTCTGTTTCCCTCAACCTGCCAGACCCTCCTCTTCTCAGGTTCCAAAGCCATTAAAGGATTTCTTACTCTGAGGACACACACAATGGACAGATGCCCTCAGTGGACAAGACAAAGGTGGTGCTTCATCCATGAGGTCAGGATCAAGTCCGCTGGGGTATTAGGGTGAGGGCATAGTTAATACAAGTGCAATACAAACAGCCTTCTGGAGTCAGTCTGTGGTGGGCAGTGTGTGCCAGGTGCTGAGGGTAGAGAGGATTGTCCAATGAGAAAAGAGGCCTAGGAGAGGAGAAGAGAGATTGCAAAGCTGGAGGCATAAATGCTGGGAAGAGATTGGATGGGTTGAGTCAGCAACTCCTCTATGGCTAAGAGTTTTCCAAAGTGACAATAGTTCTGCACTGAGGAGCAAACGGTTAAGAGTCTAACCAACTCTAAGAGCCTTTCCACCTCCTGTGAAAGAGAGTCGAATGGTCTAATAGGCTTGTTCAATCCATTGGACTCAGTCCTGAGAGGAGTTGGCATCTCCCATTTCTCCCTTTATTCCCAGCACACCAATCACACATTAAGCTATTTCTCCAGAGCTTCCCCAGCAGTTTGTAGGACAAAGCCCAAATCTCTGGGTAGCAGGTGATTCCACTCCTGGTTTCAAAGCCTCCCTCTCAATTGCACCTTCATTTATCAGTCTGAAAATATCTCCTCAAATTGAATTATCCTTTTCAGCGTTATAAAATCTCCCCAGAGAATGCCACCTTTTCCCTGGCCAGGCAGTTCAGTTTCTCCCTTGGGCAGAGACTCAGCCACACACTCTCCCTAGGTGAGGCCAAAGCTTAGAGCCTGCCTGCCCATGCCCTGAGGGGTTCTTGAGGATAGACATGAATATTGACCAGAAAGAGCTGGGGTTGGGACACTGACCAAGCCCATAGCTGTTCGGTAAGTGTCTGCACATGTATACACACACACACACACACACACACACACACACACACACAGCCCTGCCCAGGGGCTACCATTTTTCAGAGAGGGTTGATGAATAAGACAGGGATCCATTGGTTTTACTGTGGATTCTGGCCCTTGAGGGTGAGAGATAACCAACTGCCCTATCCTTTTACTCCCATCCTATCACTCTCAGTGACCATAACTCCAAAGGCATAATCTCCCAGCATTCTTTGGGAATATTGATATACTGTGCTTCTCCTTAGGTTTATGTTCCCAAGACAGGAGATTTAAATAAAGATTCCTGCATGGAATACAGTGCTCCAAGAACAATACTGTGTTTTTATTCTACCAAAGAACCAGAGTAAAAGACATCTTGGGGAGCTAACTGTAGCCTTGGAAAGAGAAAGTCCACAGAAACATGAAATAAGCATTTTCTAGTGCTTCTTTTGTCCTGGTGGCATTAGTTGGTCTGTGGTATTTGGTTGGGATATCCACAATGCTGAACACCATCTCTTCCAAAACTAAAAATTAAAAGCATTCACTTCCTAGGCCAATGATTTTCAAACCTGTTTCTAAAGTCATTGTACCCCATCATAATACAGTCTTTCCCAGAAACCCAGTAGCTGATGTTGGGATGGGGAGCCCAGAACCCTCCTTTCTGGGATCCCCATCAGACTCCTGCTCAAACTCACATCATTAGCTCCAAGGAATCTCCTGCTCAAACTCACATCATTAACTCAAAGAAAACCTGTTTGTCTTAAAGATGAACTGGATTAAGTCTCAACACTGAATCGTTCCAGATTCAGATAAATTCCAGGTGGTATAATGGTGGACACAAATATCTTAGAAGAACCAAACTTCTGTTAGCTCATCTACAGCACTCCTGACCTTGGACTGCAGATTATTGTCTTCTCACCATGGCTGATCATATCATAGAGCCAGAACAGGCTTCTCTTCACTTGTTTATCAGTTGTATAACCCAGTGCTATTTTTTCTAGGTCCAGTCAGGAGATAGAATTATGGAAAGAATTGAAATCCTAATCCTAACCTGTCTGTAATGTAGGGGCTGTACTAGTCCAAATAATATGTTAATTCAACACTTTTGTCCTTACTATGAGCTGCCCATTGTCCAGGCACTGAGAATGTAGCAGTGGGGAAAAGAGAGAGACAATCCCTGTTTCCATGACACTTAGCATTGAATGGGGGCCATTCAACATTAAAGAATGTGTGATTACAAATTTCTTTTTGTGCTCTGAAGGACAAAAACGCAGTTTTAGGAGAGAAGATACAAATTAGTGGTAGTGGCAATGACATTAATGATGATAGTGGTGATGTCTATGATGGTAGTGATGATGGTAGTTGGGAGGAATTGTGATGATAATAATAATGTTGGTGAATGATTGTGATAGAAATATCAGTGAGGACAATAGTACAAATGTCAATGATGATGGTGGTGGTGCTAATGGTGACTTAAGCAATGGTGTAGTGTTGGCGGCAGAGATGGCCATGTAAATATGGTGATGATAATGGTTATGTCAGTGAGGTTGATGGTTATCAGTGATGTTAGTGTCAATGGCATGGAAGGGTTTGTGGCAAAGTTGATGTAGTGTAGTGTGATGATGGTAGAAGCTACTGGGATGTCAGTGATGACAGTGGCTGTTGGAGGTGGTGTCATCGATGGTGCATAGATTTGGTGGAGGTAGTGGTTGTGGTGATGTCAGTGGCAGTATTAGTGGCAGGGGTGTGATACCAAGTCTGCAATGTTAGAGATAAAGATGGTGATGATTATGGTGGTACTTTCATCCAGTTAACAATGGCCATCTCTGTATTGATGTTGATGATCGTGTTAGTGGTGATGGCAATCATGGTAGAGGTGGAAAAAGTGATAAATTCAGGAGAGAATCCAAGATGGCTGCACAGGTAAACACCTCACCGCAGCTGCACACAATTTCAATAAAATACAACTAAAATATAAAATGGACATTACCCAGAATTACAGGAAAGTCGACTAACTGGAAATTCTACAATGAGAAGCAAGGAAAAAACCAGAAGGAAGAGCGGAAGAGCTGTAGAAGCCTAAGGTATGGAGACACTCGGCACGTGCGGAGAGGCAGTCCCAGAGGCGTGCACATTGTGTGCAGAGGACGGACTATTGACTCTGCTGCCAGATTGCCGTGGCGGGAAGGACACAAAGGCTCTGGACTGTGCTGGGCCCCAGTTCCAACTCCTCTGAACCCCAGTTCTAGGCCAGACCCCGGGGACCCAGGCTCAAACAGAGGGAGCTGGGCTGTAAGGTGGAACCCCGGGGGAGCAGCGAAAGGAGGTCCCGGAGGTGCACATTGTGCGCAGAGAAGGGACAGTTGGCTGTGCCATGGGATTGCCCTGGCGGGAAGGAGACAGGGGCTCCAGACTGCTATGAACGCTACCTCCAACCCCACTTCCAACTGAACTGAACCCCAGTTCCGGGCTCATTGGGGGAGAGCCTACACTGTTTGGTAGCAGGCGAAAATCGAGGGCACCTTTCTCTCAGAGGTGCTTGCAGCCAGTACTGAAGGACCCTGGGGATTACTGAGACTCAGAAACGCATAGGGTATGACTGACGGAAGCCAAGCCTATAGGCTCCACTCTGAAACTCCGCCCCATCAGGGAAGTGGCAAAAATGCCAAGACAATGAAATAGATCACAAACGAAAGAAATGGAGGACAAAAAGCGACTGGATACAGAGTTCAAAACCACACTTATAAGGTTGTTCAAGAATCTCCTAGAAAAGGCCGATAAAATAAACGAGACCAATGAGGATATGAAAAGGGATCAACTAGAAATAATAAGGGATCAACAAGAAATAATAAGGGATCAACAAGAAACAAAGAATACATTGACTGAAATAAAAAATGTTATACAGAGTTCTAAAAACAGAATGGAAGACCACAAGAATCAAGTCAAAGATTTGGAACATAAAGAGCCAGAAGTCACTCCTCCGCAGAAGCAAGAAGGCAAGAGAATCCAGAAAATTGAAGATAATGTAAGAAACCTCTCGGACAACTTCAAGCAAACCAACATCAGAATTATGGGGGTCCCAGAAGATGAGAGAGAGCAAGATATCAAAAACATACTGAAAGAAATAGTAACAGAAAACTTCCCCCACCTGGTGAAAGAATTAGACTTACAAGTCCAGGAAGTGCACAGAACTCCAAACAAAAGGAATCCAAATAAGACCACACCAAGACAAATCATAATTAAAATTCCAAGAGCAAAAGACAAAGAGAAAATATTAAAAGCAGCAAGAGCAAAGCAGGTAGTTACCTATAAAGGAGCACCTATACGATTGTCAGCTGATTTCTCAACAGAAACCATGCAGGCCAGACGGAAATGGCAAGAAATATTCAAGGTGATGAATAGTAAGAACCTACAGCCAAAAATAATCTATCCAGCAAAGCTATCACTTAGAATCGAAGGCCAGATAAAGAGCTTCACTAATAAAAAAAAGCTAAAGGAGTTCACTACCACCAAACCAGAATTATATGAATTGTTGTAGGGGGTTCTTTCGGAAGAGAAAGTAAATAAAGATAAAAATTATGAACAACAAATACATAACTATCAACAAGTAAATCTAAAAACCAAAGGAAATTTAAAAAAATCTGATGAACAATATTAACTGTTGAATAGAATCAGAGGTATGGAAAGGGAGTGATTCTTGGGGAAAAAGAGAGAGGGGGATGTGGGAAGAGACTGAACATAAACCGTGCACCTATGGATGAGGACAACGGGGGGTGGGGAAAGGGCTGAGGATGGGGTGGGAACCTGGTGGAGGAGAGCAATGGAGGGGGGGGGGAGAGGAACATTTGTAATAATATGAACAATAAAGATTTATTTTTTAAAAATTAAAAGAAAAGAAAATATTTTAAAAAAAAGAAGAAGAAAGAAAAGAAAAAGTGATAAATTCATTCTGGAAAAACTAGTGCCTAACACATTTCCAATATAATATTTTTAAATGAGTCATAATGGCCACGAGCATAGAGATGAAGAAAATGGAGGCACACAGACATTATCTAAGCTTTCTAAAACTTGGCCCTGAGCCAGATGTGAAAACTTGGATAAGCTGTGTGCCTTCTGTGGCCTCACCCCACCTCTCCTCCTT